CCCAGGCATGTGCTCTGACTGGGAATTGAACCTGTGACTCTTTGGTTCACAGTCTGCACTCAATCCACTGAGCTACACCAGCCAGGGCTGTAATTTTCTTTGTGTGTGTTGTCTTTGTCTAGTTTTGGTATCAGGATAATATGGGTTTATAAAATAAGTTAGGAAGTATATCTTCCTCCAACTCAATTTTTTTGGAATAGGTTGAGATGAATTCGTATAAAGTCTTTGAATGTTTAGTAGAATTCACCAGTGAAACCATCTCATCCTGGACTTTTTCTTTTTTGAGTAGTGGAGAAGGGATTTCTGTTTACTCTTTTAATTTTCTTAATAGTGATTGGCCTAAGGTTTTCCAGTTCTTTATGACTCAGTCTAGGAAGGCTGCATATTTCTAAGGTGAATCTAGTAGTGCATAGACTTTCAAAGCATTTTTGCATAGTCCTTTGTGTTTCTGTGGTATCCACTGTAAATTTTCCTCATTTATTTTTTATTTTATTTATTTCTTTTCTCCTTTTCCCTTAGTGAATCAAGCCAGAGATTTGTCAGTTGTTTTTCAAAGAACCAACTGATGTTTCATTAGTATTTTCTATTATATTTTTGTTCTATTTCATTTATTTCCACTCCAATTTTTATTATTTCCTTCATCCTACTGATTTTGAACTTTGCTTGTTCTTCTTTTTCTAGTTCTTTAGGAGATAATGTTAGGTTATTTATTTGAGTTTTTCTGTTTGTTTGTTTCCTGAGGTAGGCCTATAATGCTATAAATGTCCCTCTTAGTACTGCTTTTACTGCATCCCCAAAAGTTTAGTATATCATATTTTCATTTTTATCTGTCTCTTTCTATATTTTGATCTTTTATTTCTTCTTTGACCCAATAGTTTTTCAATATCATGCAGTTTTTTTTTATTTTTATTTGTTGATTTGAGAATCATCAGTTTGTTGTTCTGCTTATTTATGTATTCATTGACTGCTTCTTGTATGTGCCCTGACCAGAGATAAAACCCACAACCTTAGCATATCAGGAAATCCCTCTAATCAACTGAGCTACCCAACCAGAGCCACTAGCATGTGGTTTAATCTCCATATACTTGTAGTCTTTCAACTCTTAAAAGTTAATTTCCAGTTTCATACTCTTGTGGTAAGAAAAATACGCATGATATGATGTCAATTTTCTTAAATGTAGTAAGACTAGTTTTTTGCCCCAACATATCTTCTATCCTTGACAATGTTTTGTGTGCACTTGAGAAAAATATATATTCTATTGTTTGGGCATGCAAAATTGTATAAATATTGAGTCCATTTTGTCTAATTTGACATTTAAAGCCAAATTTCCTTGTTGACTTTCTACTCTGAGTCACATGGAAATCTTTGTAAGAGGCAGCCAGGTGTGGACAAAAAATGGGCTCTGTAATAAAAGTGACAAGTTCAGTGATGGAAAGGAAGGTCCAGGGGAGATGTGGGGACATGTCTCCATCTCCAGATGTCACCAAGGAGTAGGGAGAGAGAGTCAAAGCTCCGACTGCTGTGCCCCACTGTGAAGGTCCCCACCCCTGCAGCTCTGGGAGAGAGAACTCCTTACAGGGACACCAACAGGTCCCTGGCACTGTAGTGCCATGCAGCAGCTGGCTGGAACCATTGCTCCAAGGACACAAAGGGTGAGGGGACTGTTAATCTGCTAGCCACCATAGCAAAATACCACACACATGGGTGACTTGAAACAACAGGCATTTGTTCTCACAGTTCTGGAGACTGAAAGCCCCAGGTCAGGTTGCACACAATGGACTCCTGGTGAGTGCCTCTTCCTGGCCTGCAGATGCCACTTTCTCCTATCCTCATAGGGCAGAGGGTTAATTTTTTTTAATAAATTTATTTTTTAAATTTTATCTTTTTAAAAATTTATTTTTAGAGAGAGGAGAAGGGAAGGAGAAAGAGAGGGAGAGAAATATCAATGTGTGGTTGCCTCTCATGTGCCCTCCACTGGGGACTTCGCCCAAAACCCAGGCATGTGCCCTGACTGGGAATTGAACCTGCAACCCTTTGGTTCACAGCCCACACTCAATCCATTGAGCTATACCAGCCAGGGTGCAAAGGGATAATTTTTGACAGTTTGAATGAAATGTGTCTTGGAGAAGATCTTTTTTGCATTGTTCTATTAGCTTTCTCTATTCTGAAGCCCATATGCTTGGGAAGTTCTAATTACTTCTTTCTCTAGGCTCTCTGTTTTCATTCCCTCTCTTCTACTTCTGGTATACCTATTATCCCTATGTTGCTCTTTCTAATATTGTCAGATAGTTCTCATAGAGTTCTTTCATTTTTTAAAAGCCTCTACTTCTCTTTTTCCTCTCTCCTGAGTCATTTATAGATTTTTATCTTCATACTCAGTAACTCTCTCTTCCATCTGGTCTGCTCTAGTTTTAATGCTCTCCAGTATATTCCTCATCTCCTTTATTGAGTTCTTCAGCTCCAGAATTTCTTTTTGGTTCTTTCTTATAGTTTCCATCTCTTTGATAAAGTTTTCCTTTTGTTCATTAATTTTATTCTTGAGCTTATTGAACTGCCTTTCTGTGTTTTCCTATAAATCATTGAGTTTCTTCATAACTGTAATCTTGAATTCTCTGTCATTTAAATCACCATCTTCCATGACTTTGAATTTAGTTCCTGGGCCTTTTTTTTTTTTCTTCTGTGCTCCCAAGTTACCTTGGTTGTTTTGGTATTTAATGGTTTGTTTCTCTGCCTGCACATTGAGGTAGTGAGCTTTTTCTTGTTTAGATACTGTTTGCTCTCAACAATTTAGCAGGCTGATAAGCAGAGTACTTTCCTTTTCCTATGGTGCTTAGGGCATCTCAGTTTTCTATACCAGGCTCTGCCAGGAGTCTGGGGCAGGGGAAAAAAGTTAGCAATCTTGCAACTCCACCCTCTTCCAGTAATGGCTGCCAGCACTGTTGTGTTATTTTAAGCTTCCTAGTCACCTCTACCTGGCTCTGCCATGATGGGGAGAAGAGAAGGGAGATGACCCCATCTTACACTTCAAGCTATAGTGTGAGGGCTGGCTTTTCTGCTACTACTCATGCTGCAGCCACAGTGGGTGCTGAACTGCATTAGTGCCCAGTGTCTGGTCCTTCCCCCTGTTCTACTTCCTCTACTTATTTTTTTAGTTATTTATTGAATTTAGAGTGAGAGAGGAAGAGAGAGGGAGAGGAGAGAGAGAGAGAGAGAAACATTGATTTGTCGTTCCACTTATTTAAGCATTCATTGTTTCTTGTATGTGCCCTGACTGGGAATCAAACCCACAACCTTGGCATATTGGGATGATACTATAACACACTGAGATACCTGGCCAGGGCTATTTATTTTTCTTAAAAAAATTTTTTTTTAGTGAACCTTGTATTTTTTTAAAGATTTTATTTATTTATATTTAGAGAGAGGGGTAGAGAAGGAGAAAGAGAGGAAGAGAAACATTAGTGTGTGGTTGCCTGTCATGTACCCCACAATGGGGACCTGGCCCACAACCCAGACATATGCCCTGACCAGGAATCTAACCAGTGACCCTTTGGTTTGCAGGCCCACACTCAATCTACTGAGCTATACCAGCCAAGGCAATTCCCTACTTATGTCAATACAACCACCTTCCGATATTCTGAATCTTTCAGATGTGTTTGTGTGTCAAGCAAGGGAAGTTTTATTGAGCTATAGTTGTGACATGTTGCAAGTTTAAGTGCAGAAATGATGGAGTCTTCTTATTTAGCCATGATGCTAATGTCAACCCAGGCCACTCCCATTTTATAACTTAGATATAAAAGTTTCTTTAAAAGATTTTATTTATTTATTTGAGGGAAAAGGGAGGGAGAAAGGAGAGGGAGAGAAACATTGGTGCAAGAGATGTCAATTGGTTGCCTCTCATAGGCCCCAAGTGGGAACCTGGCCCACAACCTGGGCGTGTGACCTGACTGGGAATTGAACCAGTGACCTTTTGTTTTGCAGGCCAGCACTCAGTCCACTGAGCCACACCAGCCAGGACAGATGTAAAAGTTTTAAAGAAGATGTGAGCAAACCAACCTAGAATTATGTTAAAAGAATAATTCATAATGACAAGTAGGGTTCATCCCAAGCATTCAAAGATGCGAAGTTAGAAAAAAAATAAGGACATTAACAACAAAGTAAAACACAGGATCATTTCAGTAGGTGCCAAAGCATATGAATCTCTCCCATGACTGCAAAAATCCTTCAAGTTCTGAATCCTTGGAGAAACAGAACTTGGCTCCTATTACAGAAGGTGAAAATATAAGATACTTGCTTTCACAACCCCTTGCAGCTGAGTCACAGGCATGTGACCAATCAGACTTTCAGCAGACTTTGAAGAAGCTAGTATCACCAAGAGGTAGCGGTGGTGCCAAACTCTCTCTCTGCAGCAGGGTGGTTGTGACAGCACTGAGTCCCTGGCTCAGCAGCTGGAGCAGTGCAAGCTTCAGTGACCTGGTCTTGCAACAGGAGCAGACTTTTGCTCACCAGACTGGTTTTGCAGCCTAGTCCTGGGCACTCTCCCGGCTACACAGTTTCAAGGCTGATTTTCTAGCCCTCACTGACAAATCTATGAAGTAGCCAATGTATTTTTAATAAATTTATTTCAGCCTAAATTAACCAGAACATTTTCTGTTGCTTATAGCTAAAAACTCTGATACCAATGCAGCAAAACCAACAGCCTCAGGGGCCTTATTCCATATTACTCCTCTGTATGCAACTTTCCACCTCACTTCCTGTTGCTTGCTGCCTTTTCTCTACACTTTTTAAAAGGTTTATTTTTTCTCATTCAAGAGAGAGGAGAAGGCAGAGAGGAAAAGAGAGGAATATCAATGTGAGAAACATTGATTGGTAGCCTCTGGCACTGCCCTGACTAGGGATCAAACCCACAACCTGGACATGTGCCCTGATTGGGAATCGAATCAGTGACCTTTTAGTGTATAGGATGATGCTCCAACAAACTGAGCACCTGGGCATTTCTCGACATTTTAAAATACTTTTTGCCGCCAGCAAATTATATAAATGTCAAGTCTAGAGATAAACTGCATCTGGCTCAAGTGTGCATCCCTTGTCCAGTCACCAGTGGTGAGCAGACAGGGCTTAGCTTATGTGGTTGCATGGTACCCTTTCTGGGGGACAGTGTGTGGAACACTTTAATCATTAGAAGGGACAGTGGGCCAATGGTGGCTGAATCCCTTAAACAGGCAACTAACCTGGTGTTAGGAAGTCCTAAAAGGCTTTCCAAAGGAAGAAATTCTAGCCTATAATTTTTCATATAAGAGTTACACAGAAGGGGATAGGGGATTAGAAGAGAGTCCATGCACAAGAAAGAGAACGGTCCAGAGTGAAGGGTGGAGTGTTGAGAGATATGGTTGTACATGTAGGCAAGGTTCAGATCACACAGGAGTCTACAGGAGTCATGTTAGGGATCTTAGACTTCCTCCCAAGAGCTATAAAGAGCGATTGATGATCCACTTTCAAACAGTGGAAGGATTTGAGCAAATCTGAAGTTCTGAAAGACAACTCCAGAAGAGAATGGGAAGAAGGAAAGAAAAAGGCTCAGAGACCAGATGGGAGGCTGTTGCAGTGAAACAGTAGAGATGACACCATGGACAGGGAGTGATGGCAGTAGGAATAGAAAGAAGTGGTTCTGAGAGAGATTAGGAAGTAAAATTAATGGAACCTGGTGATACGTTGGAGGTGGGGATGAGGGAGTGGAAGAGTTAAGAATGACTATCAGGGATTTTGTTGGTATTGATTGACCAGTGATTTCCTTTTTTTGTTTGTTTTTATTTTTTTCTTTCTTCTCATTTTTGTTTGTTTTTTTTCACTGCCTTTTTTCTTTTCTTTCATTTACTTTTTTGTATCTACCTTAGATGAATGATTATCTTTTTTTTTTTTACTTTTTATTTATTGATTTGAGAAACATCAGCTGGTTGTTCCACTCATTGATACATTCCCTGGCTGCTTCTTGTATGTGCACTGACCAGAGATTGAACCCTCAACCTTCACATATTGGAACAACACTCTAACCAACTGAGTTACCCAGCCAGAGCCAGACAAGTGATTTTCAACCAGTGTACTATGGTATACTGGTGTGCTACAAGAATTTTTAAAACATACGATACCTAATTGTTTAGTCACTGGCACTGCCCTCTTTTCTCTTAGACTGTCAAATTTAAGAAATGACAACAGGCAATACCACAACAGTGCTCCTGTGTGAATGCCCTGTCTCAATCCATAAATATATAGGTCATATAATAGAGCTGCATCTTATTGGCCACATTGAATAATAAGTTTGCCTCTGACTGGTTAATTCTTGGTACCAGAAATTCTTATATAAAAGTATAGGCACCTGATTTTTAAAAAAAGTTGCTTTGGGCCCTGGCTGGTGTGGCTCAGTGGACTGCACCAGCTTCAAACTGAGATGTCACCAGTCTGGTTCCAAGTCAGGGCACATGCCTGTGCTGCAGGACAGGTCCCTGTTGGGGGCTTACAAGAAGCAGTGGATCAATGTTTCTCTCACGTACATCAATGTTTCTCTCCCTCTCTTTCTCCCTCCACTCCCCTCTCTTTAAAAAATAAATGAAATCTAAAAAAAAATAATAAATATATGAAATCTAAAAAAAGGTCACTTTGGAACAAAAAGGGTAGGTAGGTAATTCCTATTTTTTATAAATCAATTGAAATTGTACCTAATTTTTTGTCAGATCGCCAAAAAAATATTTTCCAGTGCACTGCAGAACTTTAGTGATTAGTTTGTGTGCCATGAGATGGAAAAGGTTGAAAACTGCTTGGCTAGACAAATGAATGGATGACGGTACATTCACCAGGCTGGGCAACACAGGAGGATAAGCTACTTGGATGATGAGCTCAGTTTTGAATATACTGTTTTAGTGTCTTTGGAACACCCAAGAAATCCAAAAGGCAGTGGGACCTATGTGTTTGGGTCTCAGGAGATGGATCTGGGCTAGAGATAAAGTTTTGAGTCACCGGAGTACAGGTGGTAGGTGAGTGCAAGGGGATGGATGAGAATGACCTCCGTGTTTATGTTGCATAAGGAAAGAAGAGGGCAGGTTAACAAAGAACCCAAGTCTGGGAGCAGGTTAACTTTCATAAAGGGCAGAGGAAGAGGAATCCACAGAGGAGAATTCGAATGGCCAGCCAGAAAGTTAAGAGGAAAACCAGGAAAATTAGTGTTGTAAGTCCCAAAGTTGGTGTGGCCATGAATATGCAGGCTGCAGAAATCAAGTAAGATCATAATGGAGAAGTGTCCAGTGGACACAGTGGGATGGGGGGCACTGGCAACCTTGGTGAGAACTGAACCAATAGAGGGGTGCGGTGGGACAAGAAGCCAGCCCAGAGTCGGGTGAGAAGGCAGAGGGAGGTAAGGGTTAAAATTAGGCAACTCTAAGAATGTAGCTATAAAGGGGAAGTGAGAGTGGCAGCTGGAGAGGTTTCTAAAAGCTGGAAGAGGGTAGTGGTTGGAGTTCTCCCCAGTGGGAGAGAGTAGAGCCAAAAGGAGGGCTTGGGGGAAAGTTGTGGAAGGGGGTGATAAGGGCCTGTGTCGGGAAGGAGACTGTTCACTGGGTCACATGAGCCCCTATCAGGCTGGCATTTCCTCTCCATCCTCTTCCTGCCCCTGACCAGCCCTCTCTGGAGCTGGAAGAAGGACCGAGTCACACCCTGGAAGAAGCTCTGTGCCTTCGGAGGTTTTTCTGCCTGCCTGTAAGCTGGGGTTGCGGATGGGAGAGGAAGGGGTCTGAGGGAGGGATGAGGGCCGAGGACCTGGAGCTAGCAGTTTAGGCTTTGAGGGGCAAGGGTGGGAGAGGGGAGTGGAGAGGATGGGAGGTATGGAAGTCAAACTTCTGGAAAGGATCCTAGAGGTTTCAGTGAGGGCTAGGGCCTGGGGGAGTAATGCGGGGAGCCAGTGGGGTGCCCACTCAAAGTCCCCTTGCCCACAGGTCCCCATGACTCTCTTCCTCTTGCTGCTCCTGCTGCCAAGCCCCTCACGCCCCCAAACCCCTTGTGAGACTTCCAAAGTGGCCAACCTGTTGGAAGTGAACTGTGATAATCTGGGGCTGAAGGCACTGCCTCCAGGTTTGCCAGCAGACACGGCCATCCTCCACCTGGGCAAGAACTCCTTGAGCACCTTCTCCATGGTGCCCCTGGTGCCTCTGACTCGCCTTACTCAGCTGCACATGGAGAACAGCCAGCTGACCAGCCTGCAGGCTGACGGGGTGCTGCCACTGCTGGAGATCCTGGAAATACCCCACAATAAGTTGACAAGCCTGCCCTTGCTAGGAGAGGCATTGCCAGCACTCACTACCCTGGATGTCTCCCACAACAAGCTGAGCTCATTGTCTCCTGGTGCCCTGAGTGGCCTGAGCCAACTCCATGAGCTCCGCCTGCGTGGCAATAAGCTGAAGATTCTGCCCCCCGGGCTCCTGGCATCGACACCCCAGCTCAGGAAGCTCGATCTGGCTGACAACCAGTTGACAGAGGTTCCCCCTGGGCTCCTGGATGGGTTGCAGGAGCTTGACACCCTCTTCCTCCAAGGGAACTGGCTGCGCACCATACCAGAGGGCTTCTTTAGGGATCTCCTCCTGCCTTTTGCTTTTCTCCATAACAACCCCTGGTACTGCGACTGTAGCATCCTTTATTTCCATCTCTGGCTGACAGACAATGAAAACAATGTCTACACATGGATGGAAGGTGTGGATGTCAAGGCCATGACCCCCAATGTGAAGAGTGTGCGATGTATCAATGAGGCCAAGACACCCATCATTGAGTACTCAAAAAAGGACTGCCCCCCTCTGATTGGTGGGGGTTACACCAACGACTATGATGATAGCTCTGAAGTCGGGAGTAATATGGTGCCTACAAGGGCTGTCGTCACCAACACCAAAGCCGAAACAACCCACTGGGGCCTGCTCTACTCAGAATCTGCTGCTTCTCTACACAGTCAAATGCCCTACTTGCCTCCAACCCAAGAATCCACTAAGAAACAGACCACATTCCCAACCACCAGAGAACCCATCACATTCTCCAAAACTCCAAAACCCACTACTGAGCCTACCACAACCCCAACCACCCCTACTCCTACCACCCCAGAACCCACCACAACCTCACCCACCCCAGAACTCACAACCCCACCCACCACAACCCCACCCACCCCAGAACCCACAACCCCGACCACCCCAGAACCTACAACCCCACCCACCACAACCCCACCCACCCCAGAACCCACAACCCCACCCACCACAACCCCGACCCCAGAACCTACAACCCCACTCACAACCCTGACCATCCCAGAACCTACAACCCCACTCACCACAACCTCGACCACCCCAGAACCTACAACCCCACCCACAACCTTGACCACCCCAGAACCTACAGCCCCACCCACCACAACCCCGACCATCCCTGAACCCACCACAACCCCAACCACCCCCAAACCCACCATAATCCAGACCATCTCAGAACCAACGATACTTTCAACCACCACAGAATCCACCTCACTCCCTATGTTAGAATCCACAATCATCCTTAAATTTGGTGACCTCGCAAAGGTCCGTGGGGTGGCTCAAGGGAATGTGGACAGCTCCAGAAACGACCCTTTTCTCAACCCTGACTTTTGCTGTCTCTTCCCCCTGGGCTTCTACATCTTGGGTCTCCTCTGGCTCCTGTTTGCCTCTGTTGTTCTCATCCTGCTGCTGACCTGGGTCTGGCACATGAAACCACAGGCCCTGGCCACAGCCAAGCACACCACACACGTGGAACTGCAGAAGGGAAGGCAAGTGGCCGTGCCCCGGGCCTGGCTGCTTTTCCTTCAAGGGACACTCCCAACTTTCCGCTCCAGCATCTTTCTGTGGGTCCGGCCTAATGGCCGCGTGGGACCTCTGGTGGCAGGACGGCGGCCCTCAGCCCTGAGTCTGGGTCGCGGTCAGGACCTGCTGGGTACAGTGAGCGTTAGGTACTCGGGCCACAGCCTCTGAGGGTGAGTGATCTGGGGACTTTAGAGGTTTCTTATTAGGATATAGCTGGGGCAGGGTGGGAGTAAAAAGCACAGGGTTGGGGGAAGTCTTAATCAGTTTTCCTTTCTCAGAAGTCTTCTCTTCACACCACAGAAACACCTCAGACCCAGCAAACCAGGAGGGGTAGTGAGATGAGTTGGCTAGGTCATTGAAAAGTTCCCAATGCTCCATCTGATGAGGATGGAGGTGTTTTGCAGACTACTAGATTATTACTTTTGGGAAGTTTTAGGAAAAAGCAAATAAAAAACACCATAAAGCATGGCCTCTATGATTATCTGTGTATTAAAAAATCTGAAGGAACTTATCAAGATGTGAGCCCTGATTGTCTCTGGGTGGTATAAATATGGTTTCCCTTTCCTCTGCTTGGCATTCTCTAGGTTTCTACCATCATATTTGTATAATAAAAACTAATTCCAAGCCCTGACTGGTATGGCTTAGTGGATTGAGTGCCAGCCTTCAAACCAAAGAGTTCCCAGTTCAATTCCCAGTCAGGTCACATGCCTGGGTTGCAGGACAGGTCTCCAGTAGGGGGCATGCAAGAGGCAACCACATATTGATGTTTCTCTCCCTTCCTCCCCTCCCCTCTCTAAAGATAAATAAAATCTTAAAAAATGTTTTTAAAGGAAATTCTTAACAAAATAATTTTAAAAAGAATTAGGTTCTTTTGGAGAAGGAAGAGTGGCTGGGACACCTGTCCCTAGTATTCCAAAGGCCCCAACTACCCCCCCTCTAGTTGCACTACTCACCCAAAAAAGCTCTAGTCTTAGCTTGCACTTCCCCTGCATGGGGTGCCTACCTCTCTCCTCCAGGGGTGACCACACTCCAGGCTGCACCAAGCACCAGTTCCAGATCAAGAACCATGAGGTTCCCTGGAGGTTAGTAGCACTACTGAGGCCCACCTGTCTGTGGCCCGCCATACTAGGAGTGAACGAGGGTGCCTGCATGTATCTGTGGCCTCAGAAATGCAGCTTTCCTTCTCTGTTCAGGTGAGTGGGACAGAAGAAGGGTGGGGTTTTGCTGAATGGTCTTGGTTTCCTACTGTCAAGCTAGGATGCATGCAAATGGAACCCACTCCTCACACCTGGTGCCAGATTTTCCTATTCTCCTTGGGGCTTTCTCTCACCTTGGCTCTGCCCCAAACCAAGACTCGGGGGCCCAGGGAATTGGAAGGCTGAGGCTTTCAGGCTCCACAGAGAAACCCCCAGCAAGATGGTGCTGGAAGAATCTTCCTAACTTGTAAACCTGACTGCATTTCTCCTGCTCTGAACTCTTTCTCTGACAGAGAACAAACTCTTGAGCTTGGCAACCAAGGACTTCAGTGCATTGATCCATAGAACATTCTGGCTTCATCTCTTAACAACAAACACTTCACCACCTGTGCTCCAGCTATTGCAAACATCACATAGATCACCTGCTCCCCAACCTTTCTCCTCTAAGCCACTGCTCTCCTGTCAGCCAGGAGTAATGCCCTGCCCCCCTTCCCCAGGCAGTCTAACTGCTACAGTGCACAGGTCTCTCCTCCCCCAGGCAAAGCCAGGTGCTCTAAATTACCCAGCAATGGGTCTACTGCTACACTCCCAGTTCCCCAACTGCTCCTGTCATCTTCCCCTCTGGATTTAGAAATCCTTAAATACAAGGTTCAAGGGTCTCAAAGAAGCCACTATATCCCATGCTGTCATGTACCAGGAGCAGGTAAAGACTGGCACTGGTGGGAAGGCCCAGCAGGGAGGCCAGGCTGCTGAGCTCCACCTTTTATCAAGAGGCCCTCCCACCTGTTGTCTGCTTGTCCCCCACCCTGGCTCAGAAGACTCAGGGCCTCCTACAGCCCAACCCTCCTTCTAGTTGACCTTCCCATGTCTTTTTATGCCCCAAGAGGTTTTTAGGCTCCTTGAGGGCAGGGCCTGGGAATCACACAAAAAGATAATGCAGTCACTCTCCCCAACCTAGCGTCCAGATCAAGTCTCTGGCCAACAACCTGTTTCCTCAAACCTCCAGGCTCTGGGCACCTGGTTCCTGTGTTCACTCCCTCAAGCCTGGCCCATCGCCCCCTGCAGGTCAACCTTCTCTTCTCAGACTCTTTACTCCCTCCCCCTTAGGGCCATAAAAGCAGTCACCAGACACCAGAGACTTTTCCTGGGGATTACGTGAGATGACTTGTGCTGACTTGTGCATCTTGGGCAAGTGGCTGGGAAGCAAACACAGGGCCTGGACTTGGTTTTCTTGACCCAGTCAGCTGCTACAAGAAGACTCATTTACATATCATTTGCATAAAACTAGTGGGTGCTTTTTCTTTAATAAGTTTTCTTAAAAAGTCCAGTTTCTGTTCTCAAGGACATCACTTCTTTGTCCAGTCTCCTCCCCCTCCAGCCCTCACAACTCTTCAGATTTGGGGGTAACGTTATCAATCCAATTTATTAATCATGCCCACAGTGAGGTGGAGGGAGAAAGGCCACATCCTCCCACTGCAGACCCTCTGACCATCTTGACAGTTTTTGCTCTCTCTGGGTCCCCTCAGCTCTGCCTTGGCTTTCCTATCAAAAGAGGGGATCTTCTGCTGTCCTGTGTGCCCTGAAACTAACACCCAAGCAGAGTCTGGAAATACTCAGAAGAGTTTCTTAACTCCCCCCAAGGCACAGTCAGGGACACAGAGAGGATCAGGACAAGCAGGGTAAGCTGCAGCAGGGGTAGGACAGACCAAAGTCCTTTACTGCAGAGGAAGGAACCACACTGTGGAGGGAAAATAAATAGAGGAGCCCAGGGCAGTAGTCCAGGACCCCCAGGGGCACACTGACTGTAGGAGTGGCAGGCGAGTGGGAGCCCCAGCATACTGGCTCCAGGCCCCTCGCCTGCCTCAGCCACTGAGGAAAAGACGCTTGTAGGCCTTGTTCATCTGCTCCAAGAAGATGAAGGTGAGGACGGTGTGGGGGCCCAAGCGGGCATAGTACGGTGTAAAGCCCTTCCACAGGCTGAAGAAGCCTTCGTAGCGAACAACCTTCACCAGCACATCCTAGACAGGCAGGTGGGCAGGACATTGGGGCTAGGACCTTACCTCTGGGGCCCTGGGCCTCATACCCCCACTACCCTCATTGTTTTCCCAGGACATCCAATCCTCCAGCCCAACCCCCCAGCCCTGCTTCCTCACCAGCCCGTTTTTGTATTCTGGCTTTCCGTCGATCATTCGCATGTTCTGGATCCTGAAGGAGAAGAGGTAGGGACATGAGAGACACAAAGGGGGCCCTTCCAACTTTCTCCAGGCCCAGGCCTGCAGACTCACCGGGTCTTGACAATGTCCACGGGCATGGAGGCAGCAGTAGTGACCAGGCCACTGATCATGCTGGCACAGAAGTGGCATAGGATGTTGTCAGAGAAATAGCCTGGAAGAGGAGGAACAGGGAGTGGCAGTCATCTTAGAGCTGGCCCAGGCCAGGCTGGGAGCTAAGGGCCCAGCTCTGGGTCTCACCTGAGTCCAGTAAGAACTGCTTGGATTGAGAGTAAGAGGCGAGCTGGGCAGCATTGACGACGACCGCCCGAGCCATGGTAGGGATGCAGCCCTGGGTGGGGAGTGGGGGAGGAGTCAGAAATACCTGAGACCTGATCCCATGTCCCTCAAGTCTCCAGCCACTTCACTCACCCTCCATAGCGTGGGGACCCCTTCCTCCCGGGCAATTCGAATCAGGGCATTAAACACGTTTTTGTAGCCACGGCGCTGGTCAGCTGGTAGCCTGGTGAAAAGGTAGGGGGAGGCCAAGCTCAGGACAGACCATCCTGCCCCACAGAAACAAAGAAAGGGAGGCCAGAACAGATGAATGCTCTGCTCTAAACCTAAAATAAAAAGCCCTTAATTCTTGATTTCAAGGAATGGAGCTGGGGGCAGGCACAGACCTGGAACTCACCTGCCATCAGCGGTCATGCGGATAAGAGCCACCTCAGCTGGTGTTCCCACAAAGGCACCAGTTGCGCCTGCAGTCATGCCAATCAGGGCCTTCAACAGAAAGCCAGGGGGTGTACCATCAGCCCCAGTCAGACGTTCAAACAGCACAGTATAGATGCCAAGACGAGTGGTGGTGTAAGTGGCCTGGCGTAGTAGGCCAGCTGACAGTCTAGAGAATAAAGGGGTCAGTCATATCAGGCCAAGGTCTGGAGTTGCCAACCCATACCCTAATCCCCATCCTGTGGCTTCAATACCCTGTGTAAATGCCCCTTAGTCCTTCTGCCTTAAGGATACTGGTGAGGGCATGGAAGCTGGTTTTATACTCTCGTGTCTTGGCTCCTTCCCCACTCAGCTGCATCCGGTTCTTCACCAGGTCCAGGGGTTGCACAAAAACTGTAGCTCCCATCCTGGGGGAAGACAGGGGTAGAGTCAAGGGCCAGGTGTCCCAGATCTACCAATGCCCAATGGAGCCTGGCAACAAGAGTCACAAGGGGCAGGGCCTGCCATGCAACTGACTAAATGTTCAGGAGGTTGGTGGGCATGTATTTAAGTCTCCCCGTGTATCAAGAGCAATGGGTCTAAAAAGTCCAATAGTAGAGGAGGAGCCATTCAATGAAAATGCTCCATGCAGTTCCAAGGGGGTGGTCAGAAAGTGACCTGGGACTGCATGCAGCCGGACCCCTTCATGACCATGCAATGACCTGGATCTCCATACAGCCAGGCAGAGCCAAGCAATAGGTTGGGAAATTCAGGTAGCTGCCCAGCGGGAGCCGTGCAATGATCCAGCATGCAGCCTAGTAGGGGCCCTGCAATGGGTAAAAAGATCCTGGCAGCCCATCAAGGACTGAGGACGGCGCTGACCCCATGCCGGCTAGGTACACTGCAACAGACACCAAGATAAACTGGGCCCGGTTTCTTGCACCCATCCCTTCCTCCTCTTTCCCATCCCTGGGGCCTGAGCTTACCCGGCCAGGCCCCCAAACAGGAACTTGACCGACTTAGGGGAGGTACGGGGTTTCCCGTCCATCCCAGCGGTCCCGGGACTCGCCGTCGCCGCCATCACTACTCGATGGCCCTAGACACACGGTCCCGTGCGCGCGCGGCCCCGCTCGCGCCCAAGGTGACACCTTGCGCGCAACAGGGGCAAGGGCGCGCGCGCACACCCCCGTAGCTCTCAGGTCCAGAACCAGCTGAAAGCTAGCGCAGGCGCAGGCGCGCAACGCAAAGGTGGCCGGGAGTAAGGCGGGGCTGAAGGAGGAGCTCTAGGGTAAATGCGCGAAGGGGTGTGGCAGATTTAGGAAGCCAGCCCACAGACGCAGTTTTTACCTAACTGAAATCGCGGGAAAATAGGTTTAAAGGTCTCGCGAGATCAAGTAAGCTAGGCTAGCCTGGAGTTAGGAGACCTCTCGCGATAAATAACAGCAAGATTTCAGCGGTGGGAGGGCAGTGTGGAGGTCTCTCGCGAGACTTGAGGGTACCGCGGTGGCGGCGGTGGCCCGAGGGAGGAGAGGTTTGTGAACTGGTCAGCTCTAGGGTCCGGGCTGTAAAAGGGAGACAACTAGGTCGTCTTCTGGCACTTAGGTGCTCCCTTAATCTACACAGGCACTCCTACCTCTAACTTTTATTTTAAACGGCCTTTTAGGACCGGAAGTCCTTCATCTTGAGCGTCCAATGCTGGAAGCAGCCTTTCTTTACCGGAAACCCTATCCCAGGACCTAGGAAGACGGCCCACCTGGCCGGAAGTCCCACCTCCTTGAGCTCCCCCACCCTTCCAGAAGTTTTTCTGTCACCTGTGTTTACCTCTCTACCCTTCCCCTGTTTTATCCCCATACCAGGAAAGGATACGTTTAGTGTCTTCCTCCCAGGTCCTCTAAACGCCTTGGGTATCTCACTCCCCGAGCCGTGGTTCCTTCCGTGCGTCCCCATGTAGCTGGAAAGTGGGACCTGGGGATGGTTGGACCCCTAGGATTCTGTAGGAGCGGAGAGGGCGCCGAACTCCGCCTCTGCTCCTGCTACGGGAACGCGGCCTCCTCAACTCTTCCCCTCTTGCTGCCATGCACCCTGCGGCCTTCCCGCTTCCTGTAGTTGTTGTGGCCTCTGTGCTTTGGGGAGCGGCCCCCATCCGGGGGCTCATTCGAGCGGTGAGTCTAAGGGGCAGGTGGGGAAAGGGCGCTGAAGGAAGATGTTGCAGATTGAAAGGGAACCCGGAATCTTTTGTCCGCAGACCTCGGACCACAATACCAGCATGGATTTTGCAGACCTCCCAGCTCTCTTTGGGGCTGCCTTGAGCCAGGAGGGACTTCAGGTGATTTTGTTTGCTTTTTCTGTTTCCCTAAATCTTCCATCCTGGGTAGAGGTTGAGGAGCTATGCCCTTGGATGAAGCCAGAGGTAGGAAAAGAGGCAAGTTGGAAGTGCATTAGCACATCTAGTGCGGAATCCAGAATGTAGAGGGAGAAGACAAAAGTCTACCCCTGGAACTGGAGCCCCGGGAGGAAGGCTTAAAGTGGACCCAAATAAGAGCAGGGAGAAGTGGTGCTTATCAGTAGGGTCTTGGGTCAGTTACTGGTTTATATGACATTGGACAAGTTAATTAGCTTCCCGAGTGTTTGTTTTACTATAGCATGGGATAGTGATAGAAATTATATCACGATTATTGTGAGGGTTAAATTAGGTAAGCAGTTTTGTAGTACTTTGTTACAAGAACTGCCACACAGCAAAAACTGGGCCATAGATATCAGTGCAGTTGTTTGTAAGGTGGGTAATTGGAAAGTTAAAGGGAGAGATGTTAAAAAACAAAATACTATTGAATAAATTTTAAAGACTTTATTGGCTTTATTTAATCGTTTATGAATTGGGCAGTATCCCATGTAGCATATAGAAGGTTGTACCAAGAAGCTGTACCAACTGAGATTTTTATAGGCAGAAGGGAGCAAGACAAGGGAGTTATAGTAGCAAAAAGCTGACTGGTTGTGGCAGTCACTTTAGGGAATGACAGGGGTCTATCAGGCAGATTACCTCACTAGTGCTGACCAGGTAATTCCAGAATGACTAGTTTAAGATTCCATTCCTGGGAGAAGCTAAAACTGTAATTAAGTTAGGTGTTAGGTCTGAGTTTTGTGACATGGGGCTTAGCACAAGTGACTCCATTTTGGGCACGTTGTTTCATTTAACAGAGGTGGGTATAGTCTGTATGAGTTTGTACTGGAGAAGGGAGTATAAAACAAAACTTAAGGAAAGTGACATGGATGAGTGCAGAATCTATGTACAATCATGGAGAAACTGGAAAGCAGAATTTGAATTAGCTTGGAGTATGGCCTATGGGTTAGCTCCTCTGGAACAGGGAGAGAGATAATGGGATGGTCTGGTAAAAGGATGTTGTTTGGTATAATTTCATCTTTAGGAGGCTGAAGAGAAGTACACTTCTGACTTGGGTGGGTTGCTGAAACCCCAGAAATGAGAAGGAAGTGGAGGATAGAGAGAACATGCAGTATGTGGGAGCCAGTGTGCCTGGTGGGCTCTATGGGGAGCAAAATCTAGGAAGGGGAAAGTCCAACAGTTTTTTTCTTCTCTTCCCCAGGGCTTCCTTGTAGAGGCTCACCCAGCGAATGCCTGCAGCCCCATTGCTCCACCACCCCCAGCCCCGGTCAATGGGTCAGTCTTTATTGCACTGCTTCGAAGATTCGACTGCAACTTTGACCTCAAGGTTGCTGAATGTGGACTGGGAGCTGGGAAGCTGAGGGCAAAAAAAAGGCACCCAGAATGAAGGGAGGCAAGGCCTATAATAGTTCCTTATTCCCTGCCTTGTCCTCCCTAGGTCCTGAATGCTCAGAAGGCTGGGTATGGTGCAGCTGTAGTACACAATGTGAATTCCAATGAACTTCTGAGCATGGTGTGGAATAGTGGTAAGGTTGGGGCATCTCTGAATAACCGGGTTTTCAGTAGAGCTCAGACTAAAGAGATGGTGGGTGGGCTAAAGGTTTAGGGAAAAGAAGCTAATCCTTTGGGTGGGATGGCACAAAAGAACCAAATGCTAATGTTCCCAGAGGATTTGGTTATAGAAGGGTGAGTTCTCAGTATGATGCCCTGATCTCCTGCAGAGGAAATCCAGCAGCAGATCTGGATCCCGTCTGTGTTTATTGGGGAGAGGAGCTCTGAGTACCTGCGTGCCCTCTTTGTCTACGAGAAGGGGTAGGATGTTTCCTTCCCAGTCTTCCTTCAGCACTTTCCATGCTGATCTGGAGCCCAAGCCTCAGGCCCTTCAAACTCTGCCTCTTGCCTTACTTTCCACCCTCTTTTCCATCATTGGGCCTTGTCCAGAGCCAGTTACTTTGTCTCTCTTCCTTTGTCGCTTTGGTTTTCCTGCCTCTTTTGACACTGGTCTTCCTTTTCCTAGAGCTCGGGTTCTTCTGGTCCCAGACAATAGCTTCCCATTGGGTTATTACCTCATCCCTTTCACGGGGATTGTGGGACTGCTGGTTTTGGCCATGGGAGCAGTGATGGTGAGTAGTTCAGGGAGCATAAGAGCTGAGTCCTTTAAAACCAGTCTGGAACTGGGGTTTAGTGGTGGGGATAGTTTGTACTGGATTGTTCAGTCCTGTTCCCTAAGGCTGATCTGATCCATCCACCCCATTTTTCCAGATAGCTCGTTGTATCCAGCACCGGAAACGGCTGCAGCGTAATCGACTGACCAAAGAGCAACTGAAACAGATTCCAACACATGACTATCAAAAGGGTGAGAGGACTAGAGGAGTGGAAGGCCTTTCCCATAGCTTTCATGGTTCTGAAGGAGTTTGAGCCCAGGAGAGGAGGGGGAAAGAAAGATGGTAAGGAGAAGATGCCAGCCTGAGGTGCTACCTTTCCTCTTTTACCCATCTATACAATGATGATGGGGCAGGAACAGCAGCAAATGGGAAGCAAAGATGATTAAATGGGGTTGAGGGGAAAGATGGAGGACCAACCTTGCTTATAAGGGAGGTGGATAGAAAAATGGAAGATGTGGGGAGGATTTAGTCTGAGAAGAAACTGGTTAGGATGGGATGCCAGGTCCTTAGGCCCAGGAGTCTGTAGTGCCCATATAAGGTAATAGCAGAAGCCCTGCCCCATTTCCGCTCCTCCCACTCTATCTCCACCCTCACACCTCCCCTCAAAACCCACTTCCCTTCTTACCTCTGCTTTTCTTTGTCCCTCCTAACCCCCATTCCTCCTGTTCTACCCTGGCTTTGTCCTGCAAGGCTGTCTTAGCTCTTCCACTAGCTCTGGAACCAGGGAAAATAATTTTTGCAAGGTTTAGCTCCACATTGGCCTCTCAGAGTTCTTGTGGGCCTTTGGCTCAGTAACTAAGACTCCTTTTTGCTTTCCCCAGGAGACCAATATGATGTCTGTGCCATCTGCCTGGATGAGTATGTGGATGGTGACAAGCTGAGGGTACTCCCCTGTGCTCATGGTGAGGCCCTCAGTTCCTGTGCCCATGTCCCCACTCCACCAGCAGGCACCAGGTATTTCACCTTATTCCTCTTGACAGCCTATCACAGCCGCTGTGTGGACCCCTGGCTCACTCAGACCCGGAAGACCTGCCCCATCTGCAAACAGCCTGTCCATCGAGGTCCTGGGGATGAGGAGCAGGAAGAAGAAACTCAGGGGCAAGATGGTGATGAGGAAGGGGAACCAAGTGACCATCCTGCCTCAGAGCGGACCCCACTTTTGGGCTCTAGCCCCACAGTTCCCACCTCTTTTGGCTCCCTGTCCTCAGCCCCTCCTGTTTCCCCTGGGTCTTCAACAGATCTCCCACCCTCTCCTCCCTCTTCAACTGCCATCCTGGTCTAATACTCTCCTAATCACCCCATCCCTGGTGACCTATTTTGCACAGCCTCTTCCTCTCTATTCTGTCAAGGGATGGACATTTTTCCCCTAGGTTTTTCCCTTAACCCAACCCCATCCTTTTGAGGGGGTTGGTGCAAAGGGACTGGGTCTTCATTTATTGGGTTAATAAAGTTGTTTTGTCAACTAAAGAAGGGGAAGATCATTCTCATACAGGTGAACCTCTTACCTGTTTGGGGAATTACCCTCCCCCCCCCCTTTTTTTTTGCCATAAAGGGGCAAGGAACTACTAAGACTAACCTGTAGTCATGAGAATAGGCCCAGCAGGCATTTGTTGTGAGTCAGAGAGGGAGCTCCACCCTTAATATGACTCAACTGGCCCTGCCTTGCCCACAGGTCTGGCCCATTCTCTAGTCTGGGTGGCTCTGTTCCATTTCCCACTAATTCAGCTGGCACACTGAGAACCTAGGGCTAGAAAAGAAACAGCAGGCCACATACGTCTGAGGCAGGTGCTTAGTTATGGAAGCAAGCTTCAGTTCCTAGACTTTGTAGTGCTTCAACCTTTCCTGCTCTTAGTCCCAAGCAAGAATAAAGGAGACAGGTAACAGTGACTGTTCTCCATCCTGACACCCAGGCTAAAACCACACAGCACCTTGTTAGTAGAATCTTTTTTTATTCAGAAAAAAAAAAAAAAAAAACCCAAAAAACAAAAATTTTCCAACCACACACAGGAGGGGTATGGGGAGGGGGAGGCATCTGTCCATCCAGCCCTGGCCCCCAGCCCATGTGGTTTTGGCAGCAACAAGGGGTGTAGGGTAATGGCCCAAAAAATAAAAATGGTGTATGTGTGTGTATGGGAAGGAGAGGGGTGCAAAAGCAGTGGGGGTTGGGGGCAAAGATGAGGTCAGTACTGGGAACGCCGCAGGTGGGAGGCCATTTCATAACATTTCTTGTTGATCATACCACCGTGGACACCTTCTTTGCCCATCAGCAGGACTAGCGCTGGAGGAGAGAGAAAGAAGGCTAGAACCCAGGTGTCACAATACCACCCCCTGCCAGCTGTTCAGCAGCTGTCCAGCCCTGAGGTCTGTAACCCAACCTCATCTCTCCCACCGCCCTCCCTACACACACAGGCAGGCTGTCAGTCACACTAAAACAATAGGGCTTTTCAAAAAGGAAAAATCAAGCTAAGAGACGGGAAGCAGAACACTAAAATTTCGGAGTCAAAGGCTTACAAACTGTTGACCCGTGTTCAAGCTAGAAATGGATGTGGATGGCCTGACAACTCCAAGTTTTAACAAGAGGACTCAAAAGACAACAACTAAGGGCTAGCTGTAACAGTTTACCTCCTCCCAGAAAATGGAGTTTCTCATCTGAAAAGGCCCAAGTCAGGGAGAATCTTAAGAGGGAATAACAACTCAACTCTTATATTACAAGATGAGGAACTGAGACAAAACTAGAGGGACTATCCAGTGTCCCAGCATCCAGCAGACTGGGAGTAGGAAGCTGGTTTGGTCCCTTCGTACTGAGGAACCACACTAAAAAAGATTCATAGATGGATGCACATTGGTGATCTTGGAACTACATCAAGGGTAAGACTCAGAAACTCACTCTTGGCAGTCATGGTGACAGTAACGTTGAAGGTGGGAGCTCCCCCGGTGCTCTTCGTACGAAGATCCATGGTAAATTCCCCATCCTGCAGCAGTGAGTCCCGGATCACAGAACATTTCTGGCCCCCAAGTGTCAGCCCATTCACGAAAAAACTTGACCGGTCTTTGCCAACTAGGACAGCAACCTCAGCTGGCTGTAAGGGAAACCGAGCACTCATCAAGTTAGTACACCATGGTTCCCACCTTCTCCAAGGACACACCTGCTTTTCATACCACAAGGGAGCTAGAATCCCCCCTCAAAAGGTGTGTTGTGTTAGGTGTTTTGTGCATATCCATGAATTGGAGAAACTCTTAGGACTGTTGTAAGTTAGTGCACAAAAAGATCAGGAGCCTCAAACCTAGAGAATGGTAATAAAGAGACAAATTCCTCTGGAGACTTAGATCTCGTTTAAGAGGGAAAACAAACCCAGGAAATAAAGGGGGCCAAAAACCAGTAAGGAGAGTGGAATGGAACGGAGTGGGGAGCCTTTGGATGCTCAGAACTCTCCTTCAGGAAAAGCAGAAGCTAAGAAGGGAAGGGAGGGGGCGGGCAAAGCGGGAGAAGCAACTTTGCCCTTATTTGGTCAAAGGACCTGAAGGAGTTGTTAGGGGCCGGGACGCCTGGGTCTCCAAGTAACCTAGAGTTTAGGTCCAGGTATATCTATGCCCCAAGAGGAGGAAGCAGATCCCTGAGGGCTTTCCGGGAAAGTTGGAAAACTTTTGAAAGAGGACAGCTGCTAGACCCAGAATGCCAGCTCTCGGACCGAGATACCCCAGGGAACCTTTCCACCCCTCCCCCTTACACCCCAAATCCCCACATCCGGTCCCCTCCCGCCCGGAAATCCCCTTCCCCCCTTTCGAACTTCCGCTCCCCCTCCCCACTTCCGGGCAGTGTGGACCCAGGAGGTAGTGATGGAGACAGCAGTAGTCACTTCTTATTCCTTTACTTATACTATCCTAGAACTTCTCACAAAGTTCCCCTGCTCCAGGCCTCTCAGGATGGCGGGAAGGGAGGGCGATGGGGCTTCCGGAATTGGTCTCACAAAAATGTAGAGTCCACCGTGCAGACTTGGGGCGCGGAGGGGGGGTGGAGGTGAAGAGGCGGCCTCTCCTCCAACAGAGTTGGGAGGGGCTGGGAGCCCACACAAGACCCGCATGGAACCCCAGCCACGGTCCCTCCAGCATAACGGGGAACAATGGTGGAAGGGGCACGAGTTGGCGGCCGGAAGTGGACCTGGGGGTCCAGGGGTCCCCAAGTCTCTTCTCAATCACAATCCCTGGTTGAAACTGCAGCTCGTGCCCGCCCCGCCCTGGACGAGGCGGAAGTGGGCCGCCGCACCGGGTGGCGCGTCCCTCCCCGCCCTGTGCCCCGGATGTAACGCCCCGTCGCGGAAAGCGGGGCGGCAAGCTGGATGGGAGCCTCCGCCCGGGGGGTAGAACTTAGGGGGCAATTGAGGGACCCTCTCACATGCAGCCGCCATTCGCGCCACTCCCCGGGCAAGGACCGGGTCACGGCCTTTCGCTGCCCTCCCCAGACCGCACCCGCCCCCACCCAAGTCCCTTCCTTTGGGGTCCCAGTTCGGCCAGTCTCCGGGACCGCGACGGCCTTGCAGTACCGTGATGTTGACGAAGGTTTTCCCGGGGACGGCGGCCCAGACGGAGGGCGAGTCCTTATAGCCCACGATGGCCGCGTCCTGACAGGTCCCGTCCGCCATGAGGTTGTCGATGTAGGCGTTCCACCCGGCCATGGCGCTGCTACTGGGGCTGTTCTCGGCGCTGCTGCTGGGGCCGCGGGCTGGGCTCCGGCTGCCTCGGGCTGGCGGGCGGGGGGAGGTGGAGAGCTTGGGGCACGCGCTGCCGTCCGGACCGCGGCTCTGCTAGCAGTGCAGCAGCCCTCACACCGCCACTTCCTGCTCCTCCCCCCACTTCTAGATTTTTATTTGCAAAGGGCGGTAGGGGCGGGGCCTGCTCCCCATTCCCTCCCCACCGCCCCCCCTCTCGCTTGCCCAGATACCTAACTTTGCAAATGCAATTTAAAAAGTCCCTCCCCCGTTACAAAATTTGCAGAGTTCGATGGAAAGCAATGTAAAAGGATGAAATGGGGGGAGCAGGGAGAAGTTAGGGTTAGGGCTCGGTTCACTTTGCATTGAATATAAATCACAATTTGGTATGAGGGAAGGAAGCCAAAGGAAGGAAAGTGAAAGGAGGAATTAGCAAGCTGCAAATTTAGCAAATTAAAGAGAGTTCGGGGAACTCAGGGTTAAACGGAACGTCTCCCCCTTCCCCCACCTCCACTGGAGGGAAGGAACGGCGGGCGGCAGCGCGTGCGCCCGCGCCTGCGCCGGGGCCCGGAGGGAAAGCGCGTGGGGCGGTTGGGGCCGGCGGCCGGCTTAGCGAGCGCGCGCCGTGGCGCGCCAAACTGGACCTATTTGGAATCCCTATGAAGAGGGGCGGCCGGGGACGTGTCTCCCTCCGGGCGGAAGGGGCGGGGGCGAGTGCGAGAGCGAGGCGTGCTAGCAGCCCTTTCTCCATTCGTTATTTTACTTAAACAAGCAATAAGAGAGCAAAGGGCACTCTGACAAAATACCCTGTCCGGTTTCAGAATTGAAGGCATACACGGGGGAAGCTTCTGTCTGTCCCCAGTATAAGTATAGCCCACCACCACGCCAGGGGATTATCCCTAGGTGGATCATCCCCGGTACCAAGCCTCACACACTCGTCCCAGCCCCGCCCGTTCCCCGGCCAGCAGTTTGGGTCACCGGCTGTGCCCCTTGGCGCATCTTTGCATAGGTCACTGAGCACTGTGCTAGACAGGCGGGCCTATTTTTAAAGACGGAAGAATACTAAGAACTTTCAAGGTTTGCAACTTTTTCAAGAAGGGTAAAAGCCCTTCCACTTTGGGCCCGTTGGGTTTTCTTATTTTTCATTTCAACTTATGCCAACAAGTTGTGCGCGAGTGGATCGCCCGCCGCCAACTGGAAGGGTGTTGGGGCAGGACCTGGCGGCCTGCTTAGGTAAACTAGACACATTATAGCTGCTTGGGCTGCTGAGGAGCATGGCCTCTTCCGGTCCCTCGTGGGAGGGGAGCCTCCCCGGTGGCAAAGAGCTTCACCTCTCTCGTCTTCTAGAGCTGGGCGGGGTTCCTCTGCGTCCACTCCGCACGGCCTGGGCACTCGACGCCCCCCGAGCGGGTATTCCTCGACAGCCACCGAGGCTGAGTCACTGGCCCGCCGGGGTGGGGCAGCACTGGGGCACGTGGCGGCGCTCCCCGCCCGCCATCTCCTGACCTCTGGCCTGCCGCACCCCCTACCCCAGGGTGGAAAATTCCCGGGAGGGAGAGGCCAGAGATAAGGGGAGGAGGGGCGAGACACGGAGAGGAATCTTGAACCAGGGACTGAAGACAGAACCCGCCGGGGCAGCGGAGCCCGGAGGGGATTTGAGGAGAGGGCTGCGGGAGTGAGTCATCTGGAGTGCGCTGTTCCATCACCGGCGGGGGGAGCCTCCGTGTCCGGCGAGGACCCGAGGCGCTCCGTGACCCTGGC